ACACCTCCAGCAGTCATCATGGAGCCCAACAAGTTCTCACTTTGTCCAACCAGTGCTATGTTCTAAATCATTACACAATGTGTTGACGGACTGACTACAAGCTCCACAAACCCCACCTGTCCCAAGCAGGAGCAGAGAAAAGGACTCACACAGTGCTGCTGCTCCGCCTCAGCACCATCCTTAGGGCACCAGTCCATGGAGCCATCCTCCTGTCCACAGGACGCATCCATTCTGAGAAACATAGGGCACAGGTGAACACCAGAAATGGACACGTGCCCTACTTTGACTGTGGCACTCTGAAACTCTTGGTCAATCGCGCTTGGTGGGAGATACTGAAGGATCTCAGGTGCCACAGGTATTCACAGTCCTCACTCATACAGATCCACATGTCATCATCAATCCAACAGGATTCCCCCACCTTTCCCACAATGGCTACTCTCAGATCCATTAATTTATACTTGATTGACAGTGTCCCCATTCTTCCCAAACAGTCCCACACAGGATCATTCACCAGGACTCACACTCATGGGAAACTCCTCTCTGGAGGTTCCTAAGAGAAGGAGACCATGGAGCCATCCTCCTGTCCACAGTCCAGGTCCGTTCTGAGGAGCAGAGGGCAGAGAAGAAGGGAACTAATGGTATACATGAACCTCCCCCCTTTGGCTTTTTTCCTTTTGCATTCTTGTTGCTTTGCCTTCGGGGAGGAACTTCGGTTCCGTTGGCATTCACGGTCCTCACTCTTACACCTCCAGCAGTCATCATGGATTCACTATGGGTCCTCATTGTTCTCCCAAGGGGCTCCTCTCTCATTCATTCACTGAGTAAATCACAAGAATAATGAGGAGAAGCTCTCAGAATGCCACCCCCGTCAAGAGGGGACCACTGCCTGCGACTGTCACATCTCTGCAGCGCCCGCCCGCTATGGGCTCATCACACCTGAGCATGGAGCCATCTTGGTGTCCATCGGCCTTGTCCAATCTGAGAACATGAGGGCGGAGAAGAGGGCAAAAATGGAGGTGGGCCCCCCTTTTCTCCTCTCACAAAGACACTTTTGTGCCATCACCATTGACTACAGTGAGGGAAGGACCTCAGATCCAGAGGTTAGTCACCGTCCTCACTCAGACACCTCCAGCAGTCATCATCGAGCCCAACAAGTTCTCACTTTGTCTAGCCAGTGCTACTTTCTGATTCATTAAGCAATGCGTTGACGGACTGACTACAATTTCTAAATATCCCACCCTGTCCCATGCAGTAACATGGAGAAGGACTCACATGGGGCTTCTGCTCCACTTCAGTATGGTCCTTAGGGCATCTGTCCATGCAACCATCCTCCTGTCCACAGGACGCATCCATTCTGAGAAACAGTGTGCACAGGAAAACACCGCAAATGGACATGTGCCCAACTTTGCCTCTGGCACACTGAGACTCTCAGTGAATCGCGCTTGGTGGGAGATACTGAAGGATCTCAGGTGCCACAGTTATTCACAGTCCTCACTCATACAGATCCACAAGTCATCATCGATCCAACAGCTTTCCTCCACCTTTCCCACAATGGCTACTCTCAGATTCATTAATTTATCCTTGATTGGTACAGTCCCCATGCTAGCCAAACCGTCCCACACAGGATCATTCACCAGGACTCACACTCATGGGCAGCTCTTCTCAGGGGGTCCTAAGGGCACAAGACTATGGAGCTATCCTCCTCTCCACAGGCCAGGTCCAATCTGAGGAGCAGAGGGCAGAAAATGGGGCAAAAAATGAAGTTTCTCCCTGCTTGATTTCTGTCGTATTCAGAGTGTTATGTATTCCTCTCGCTTTTCTTTTAGTGCAGAATCTCAGATCCAAATGCCTTCTCTTTGCCCACTCATATACCTCTGCATCATAATCCAACAGGATATGTTCTTTTTAATTCCATCCATTGCTACTGTAATTTTAATTCATTATTTCATTAATTTGCTAATTATAAATGTCATTATTCATCAAGTCTGATGTGTCTTGTTTTCATTAATCTGCATTGGAACCTTTGTAAGTTTACACCTCAGTGCTAGTCAAAAGTCTCACAGATGCATAATCAGTCTTCAACTTTCTGTTATTTCTTTAATTACCCAACTTCACATTTTTCATTTTGCTGTACATCTTTTAATAGTTCTGTCAATAATTTTATGCATACTACCCCATATTAAGCAAGAATTCCTACCACACCTCACATTGGTATATCACTCCTCCTCAGCAAGCATCGTCTTCCTGTCCACACGCCATGTCCACTCTGAGGTGGAGCGAGCACAGGAGATGACAACTGTTTGTAAGTGTGTTCACTACTGCACTCTGCTTTTTCCTACTATTTGTTCCTTATTTAGATATTCATTATTCTACGTTTCCTCTTCCAAAAAATGTGTATTTCTGAACTTTTGATTGAACTAGCTGTCAACAGTGTTGAATAATGTCTATGCTGAATAGATGTTTATGATGTGTCTTTTATTTTTTAGAAAGCTTCAAACATGGACAGAACTCGGGGCAATCACTGTTCCTTAGCGCATACACCATTGTTAGTCAACAAAGCTATACACCTGCTCCATCTGTCATCCACTCTAGCGCGCACTGGCATTCCGGCTTGCTACTGCTTTCGCCATGAACAGTGTTTCGCCTCTTCATTTTTACTCACTTATACGTTTGTTTTCATACTACCATGGATATTTTTAGGAGGATATTTTCAAAGCTCATGGACAAGACCACGAACCAGCCCTTGGGTATTCCTGCCCCCATCTATGGCATCACACTGAACATGGGAAAGGACCAGATCCTGTCTGCGTGGTGCCCAGTGCTTCACATGGAACATCCACAGCACAGCCTCCCCTGTCTTCTGCATCTCAGGACTGGCCCTCTTTCCCAGCACGCGCATCGGCTCTTCTTTATGGAATTACCAAACCACTTGAAGCTGGGTCAAGGGGAGGCACCCCCGGTCCCAGCGTCTCAGGAGGCTGACGGAGAAGACTCCTTGAGACCAGGAGTTTGAGATCATCTAGGGCAACATAACCTTGTGAGATCCCAGAGGGCAGAGGTTGGAGAGGGGGAGAGAAACCAAGAAGGAGACACATGCAAATCACAAAAAGAGCAAGCTCTTTGAAGTCCCTAGAAGTCAACCACATGATATTTACAAAAACCTAAAATCTTTCTTTAATGAAACCTAGGCTTCCTTGATCCACTAAAGTAAGATTTCACATTAACATGTGAAATATTAATCATTGACATAAACCAAGACAACCACCAAATACGACCCACGCTGATGCCTCTGTTCGGAGCCTGCTGAGGCAAGAGCTCACCACCGTCGGGATCACCCTCGAATCAGCACAGGTACATCCACTCCAAGGAGCACAGAGCAGAGCAGATGACTGAAAACACTGAGACGCTCTGTCAACTGATCCCCAGGCCTCCCTCTGATTACCTAGGCTCCCAGGTTATTTGTGATGATAATTTATTTTTCTCTTAACAAATCAAACACTAGGTCAAACAGTATTATGTGTTCCCTTTCCATTACTATATTTAGTCAGAGACAATATACACAGGAGGAGGAAGTACATTTGTTCCATTATCATTCATTCCACTTTATGATCAATATTATTTTACTTATTATATAGTTTAACAATGAACATGGTTACCACCTTTATGCATCATGTGTTCACTTATGTGGCCCCTGATACCATCGATTGCTTATAATACCATCATGATGAATTCATCAACACAACAGCCTGATACAAGATCCTGGGATGTTCCTGGCAACACTTGTTAGGATGGGTCACATGGAGGGAACAGACTGTTGACTCACCTTGGTCAACATGTGCCCCACAGACCAAGAAAGCTGCAGAGCTCCTGCCCCAGAGAGCATGCTAAAGTCAACTGGAGCACGTCCATCCTGGAAAGGAGAAAACAGAGGAGGGGAATCCAGACCGGGGCATCCTCCCCAGACCCCTGCTCTGTGCAGAGTCTATCATCTAGCCAGTCACACGTGCAAAATCATTCCTTAAAAGGTTGGCATTTCATTTTCTCTTTAAGAAAGCCAACAACTTGGAAATTGCCATTGGCACAGAAGAGTACCTTATAATTCATTCTGGGTTAAGCACAGAAACCAAGCCCATGACTTCGTGCCCAGCATCTCCCTAGGGGACCCCACTGAATGGGTAAATGGACAAGAGTCCTTGGCGTTGGACCTCAGAGTTTCAGACACATGTAGTCGTCATGCTGGACTCACACACCACCAGTCATCATCATTGGTCCAGGCAGGAGCCATTTGATCCTGACTGATTTCTAGATGATTTGTTGATTAATTCAGAAATTCACTAATAATAATTTTAAAGCACTATGATCCACAAAACCCCTGAAGAGTCCTAATATCCCTAACTTGCATATGAAATCATTCTCTGATCAATATCTCCTTTACTGGGCTGGGGCTAGAGTTCAGTGGTAGAGTGCTTGCCTTGCAGGTGTGAGGCCCTGGGTTCGATCCTCAGAACCACATAAAAATAATTAAACAAAGAAAGATAGTTTGTCCATCTACAACTAAAAAAAATTTTTTTTTTTTTAAAAAAGTATCTCCTTTACTAAAAATCCTCACTTTTCATAAATGAATTGATAAATAGAGCACTCTGTGTGCACCCTGTGCTTGTCATTGGACCCTAGCTGGCCCTCTCCATATGGCACAGCTTTAATGCTACAGCGAACATCCTTAAACCAACACAAGGGCACCGTGACTCACATCAGTCTCCAAACCCACGAGGGATGCATGAACCATCCCGAGAGAGTTCCTTCCGATGTGTACATCAGAGCTGTGATCAGTAATTCTGAGTTTATCATTCCCTTTCTCTCAAGAAAATGAACCACCTCAACCTTGCCACTGACCCAGAACACAAACCCTGCCTGTGATTCACACTGGGTCATCATCAGCCAAAGAGCTGCCACTCGAGTGCCATTCATTTCTCATGGCCTTTCATGTTTCCAATGTACGTTAATCGTCTTTCTGGCCTCCTCAGACATTTCTGTACTTCAGCAATGCTCTATCTATTTTATGTCGACTTATTTATCTATTTGTTCACTGATTCTTTCATTGATCAATAATAATGGTAGAAAGACAGTGTGTGAAAACAAAGACAAGACTGTCTTTATGTTGGGCCTCAGGGTGTCATCCATACATTTTTAATCTTTGACTCACACTAGCATGTCTTGTTGGCCTGGGGAAGGCCCACAATTTCTTCATTCATTTCTGAATTATTTAATTGATTAATTCAGTAATTATAATTTTAAAACACTATGAATGACAAAGGTCCAAGAAGAGACTTAAGATCCCAAATACTCAACTAGGATCATTCCCATTATACTACATCCCTTTCACTCCTTACCCTTAGTGTTTCTGATATACATTGATCAATAATACATCATGTGAATCCCTTACTTGCCACTAGGCAACAACTTGCCTTTATTTATTATATTTTTAATAATCAGTGCTTTCAATCTCCATAGTTTCAGTTACTCAGGATGACAATGATCCAAGAATATTTAATTAAAAATTTCAGGAAAAAAATCATGTTTTAAATAACTTTTATTCCAGTATATGTGATAACAGCTCTATTTCATGGGTAGTTATTTTTTGGACCACTAACTGCTCTTAATTTATAATCCAACTATTTTAAGTACATGCATACAGGGAAAAACCTAAGTGTGTGTAGGGTTCAGGGCTGTATCCAGTCTTGGCATTCACTGGGGGTCCTGAAACACATCCCAGATGGACCAGGAGAACTATTGTGTCCTTCAATAAGTCCCTAAATCAGGGGTAAGAACTTCAGCCACACAGTGCTCTCCAGGTTCCTAACATGACAGGCAACCAAAGCAGAGCCCTTCAGCCAGGAGAGGGGTGCATTCTGAGGAGTGTGAACGAGAGCAAGTGCTTTTTAAAGGAGAACATTCTGCACCCTGGTCCTTGTTTTCTACCTCACATTCAGCCACTCCCTGAGGTAATCAGTAATTTGAAATATACATTCCATATGAAAACAAACAACTTTGAACATACTCCTGACAGAAAAAGAACCTTTGTCTATGACCTACACTCTCTAAATTATCCTTTGCCAAAAAAGGTGAGCACTCGTGGGGGTTCTCCTTAAACTGGATTTGGGGTTCACATTACTTTAACAGTTTTCTGGAATCATCAATGTTTTGGTCCGTTCATGTCTATTTATTCATATTTATGGATGGGTCGTTTCATTGGTATCAGCATGACAGTTTGAAGATACATGGCCACTAGACCAAGGCTCCTGTGAACCCTGACGCCTGCCTACAGGATCACACCCACAGGAGGGGATGAGTTTTCCACTCTGAACCTGAGCTCCAGGCACCTCTTCCACACATATGACGTATATGACTCCTGCGGCCATCACTGGTCCAGACTGCCATCTTCCACCACTGTTACCTGACTTCTTCCATGATTCATTTGATTATATTTGGTAATGAAAATTTGAGAATATAAACTAAAAATTTTAAAATGCTACCATTCAGAAGAGTTAGGAACGTCTTTTTGCATTAGAAGAGGCTTTATAACCCTGATCTGCACACAAAGAAGTACTCTCCTATTATTATGTCCCTTTTGTGTATTATCCTGTTTTGTGGCTACATTCATTAATACAAAGCTTCAATATTCACAGATGTCACAAGAAACGATTGTGTTCTTTAACTACTTCACGCTCTTTTTCTGAAAAAAGTAAGATTTTATTTATGTAGAATTAAAGCAGGCAAAGAGTTGAAAAATAAGCAAATAGAGGACTTTCTTTTTCTTTTGCAAATTTATATTTATATGGGGCTTAAAAGAGCAACTTGATTTAATTTCTAAAATTTTTATTTGTACAAGTTAATTATCACAATTAAAAGCCTTCTGTAATCCTGAATCTCACCCCTGAACAGAATCAATTGCAAATATTTCTCTGTGTTTTTAGGTATTGTTTCTATTTCTAAAACATATGTTTCCCAGGGCTGGGGTTGTGGCTTAGAGGTAGAGTGCTCACTTAGCATGCATAAGGCACTGGGCTCTATCATCAACACATAGAAAATAAAGATGTTGTGTCCACCTAAAACTAAAAAGTAAATATTAAAAGAAAACAGAATATGTTTCCTGTACCTGCCAAACTCATTTTCTTCTTGTCCTTCCAGGTTTTGCTTTCAATTTTGAACACTATGGATTACCTGGGTCCTTATGTAGACATTTCTCTATGAGAAGATTGCTTTTATGTCCTACCAAATTCCAAATCAAAATATCACACTTTCAATAATACATTCATAATTGTAGGATGAAAAAAGACCCTGACACAAGGGAGAGAACTTTAACCATTACTCACATGAATCCCAGCACTCTTAAGCAACCACAGCTGGTGACCAGGGAAGAATGTAAGTCACCTCATTCCAAGAGTCAAAAGGAAGCTCTGTGTGCACTGATTTCTATGTTCTTCATTTCATTCATGCAGTCATTCAGCTGTTTATTACTGTTTAATTTGTGCTGTGTGTGTTTGTGTGTATGCATATGTATGTGTATATTTTGTGCTTCTGTATGAACACATATGCGTGCATGCACATACATCTTATAAAAGGAATATCTCCATCTTGAACCTGACCCAGAATAAGAAAACTGACTCTTATTTACTGTCTATACAATTCTTTCCTAAAATGGTAACACTGTATCTAAATAGCTATAAAGTGTTATACATTTTAAACAATATTTCTATTTTAACTTAAATATCTGCACATATGACCAATATTTCCTGCCTCAATGTAAATGCTCATAAAGAATACATTACCTCTTCTTTATGAATTTATTATATAGCTTAATGACACATTAATAATGAACCTATTGCCATAAATGCAATGACATCATGTGTGTATATCCCTGATTTTTTTCTAGAGTCAATTCTAATAGAGAAAATGGACTAATTCTGTAGTGTGTTGGACCTCAGAGTTTCAGACACATATTATTCATAGTCTGTAACACAAATTGTCATCATTGCTATCATTGGTCCCTGACTGGATAACCTTTTCTGCATTTGTTCTGACATTCTGATCAACAAAAAGGTTATATCATTAATAACAACAAAACTGCATGGTTTAGAAAAACCAAAAAGATCTTTGGACATCAGTCTAAAGAACAATTATCAACGTAAGAGTAAAATTAAACTGAATAACTTAAATTTAATCTGATACTAATAATTAGGTCATGGTAAATATTTTATTCACTTAAAACTTTTTAAGTTTTTAATTGGGAGATAAGATTCCTTCAGTGGATGAATGGATAAAAAAATGTGGCATGTATACACAACTGAATTTTACTCAGCAATAAAAGAGAATAAAATCATGACATATGCAGGTAAATGGATGCTGTTGGAGAAGATAATGCTAAGTGAAGTTAGCCAACACTGCCCCCCACCCTCGGGAAAAAAAATGCCGAATGTTTTCTCTGATATAAGGAGGCTGACTCATAGTGGGGTGCGACGGGAAACGTGGGAGGAATAAATGAATTCTAGATGGGGCAGAGGGGAGGGAGGGAAAGGGAGGAGGCAGGGGATTATCAAGGATGGTGGAACGTGATGGACATCATTATCCAAAATACATGTATGAAGACACGAATACGGTGTCAACCTACTTTATAAACAAACAGAGATATGAAAAATTGTGGTATATATGTGTAATAAGAATTGTAATGAAAAAAAACACAAGTACATGTATAAAGACATGAATTGGTGTGAACATACTTTATATAAAGATATAAAAATTGTGCTCTATATGTGTAATAAGAATTGTAATGCATTCCACTGTCGTGTATTTAAAAAAATAAAATCCATAATAAAAAAAGAAAAAAAAGACCTATGTATTCCTCATGTATAACATTGTACAATCTATACAGATTGTACAATGACTAAATCTAGCTAATCAATATATGCATCACCTCATATATTTATGAATTTTGAGGTGAGAACATAGAATTTCTCCTTTCATATATTTTTAAAATATAATATATATTATTAACAACAGCATAATATTGTGTAACATATCTTTTGAATTTATTTTCCTTATCGAATTAACTTAATAGTATTTCATTTACCATTAACACACTCAAATGAGTAAAGCTAAGAAAGAACTTTGGCAAAAACTCACCTGAAGTCTTTCTTAACTCAGAGGAAGCATGACATTTTTGGTCACAAGAGAAGATTCAATCAGGTGACTGCATCACTTCCAAAGAGTACAAAGCAGGGGACATGATGAAAACCTTCTCTCCATTGTCCGTGTTATCTACTATAAATGAGAAATTTAGACATTGATTAATCTATTGTAATTAGATTTCTTTTCCTCTTAATCAAATCTCAAATTTGCCAAGAGTAATGATTAGCTATTACTTATCATGAGAATTTTCATCTGCATATTATATCTGTGTTAAGATTCATTTAGCTAACTATATATTTTATTAATAAACAATGCTTGACCATCTTCATCTTTCTTAATTTACATCTTTAATTATTCATTCTGGATCACTTACATTATTTTCAAAACTCATGAACAGAAGGATCAAAAATAAGACCCTACAACACTGATATCGAAAGATGAAAGATCAGAAATGAAGAAGGGACCTCAGAGTTTCAGACACCAGGTGCTCATCCCAAGTCACTCACATGCAACCAGATGTCATGATGGGTCCAGTGCTAAGCCCCCTTTCAACTAAAACTAATAGAAATTGATTTGTTGGACAATTCATCAATAAATATATATGAATAACAAAACACAAGAGTACTATCATTCACCTATTAATTAACTGATGATATTTTTGAGAGCCTATGATTCAAAACACGCAAACCAAGGCAAGAACAAAGACCAAGACCCACACTGACCTCCAAGTCTGCTGGAGAGTCACCCATGGAGCACCTGGCCACAGAGGAGTTCCAAACCAGCTCAAGAGGGTTCCACTGGGGACAACC